TTAATCAACTTATCAACAGATTATTCAATAAACTGAACCTGCCCCAAACAGAACCTCAGATAAAACAACATAATATTAATAAAATTTATATATAAATTAACAAATTAACTTATTAAGAAATTATTCCCATAAAAACTAGATCTCCCCATTCGAAATATTGAATTTGAAAAATGAATGAAAGAGGACAGTTAATTTGTAAATAACAAGTTTAAGGTGGTCTGTATCACATTAATACCTTTTTAAGCCCAACAAAAATAAATAAATAAAAATAAAAATAACACTTTTAAATTGATCAGTTTACGCCTAAATCCATAATTTACAATCCAAATCCCTTAAAAAAAATGGAAATCATCAGACGAGCTAAGCTCACAATTCGCTGAGATTCATCTCATCTCAGAGCAATTTCTCTGCAGCAAATCCCAACAAACAATTTCCCACAAACGAACAAGAAACTAAAAAAGATTCAGAAAAAAATACCGGAAGGAAGAAGACGAAGAAGGTCAGAAGAGCAATCCTCCAACATTACCGGCCATCATCTTCTTAAACTCATCAAAATTAACCATCCCATCTCCATCCAAATCAATCTTACTGATCATAGCACGGCAGGCTTCGGCTCGATGTCCTTCCTGGAGTCCAAGCGATTTCAGAACCAGGCTGAGCTCCTCCGCCGTGATCAGGCCATTACCGTTCCCGTCGAACACATCGAACGCTTTTCTGAGCTCCCCATCGTCCTCTTCTTCGGCCGCAGGTTCAGATCTGAGGGAGTTGCAGAGCTCGCCGAACTCGTTTAAGTCGATGAGGCCGTCGCCATTGGAATCCATCCTTTCCATCATGTTCGTCAGATCATCGCCGGTGGTGTGAAGCCCTAGCCGACGGAGTGAATGGCTGAGCTCGGCGGCGGAGATGAAGCCATCGCTGTTGGAGTCGAAGGTCGCGAAAAGTGTCCTGAGATCTGAAGAATCGGGTAGGGATTCAGATCTGCTATCTTGGTGCTCGTTCTTGAGATCTGGGTTGGGGGGCTTGGGTTTGGATTTGGGAGGGGAGATGGAGGAGAGAAGAAGAAGGGAGCGGAGCCATGGGAGGAGTTTGGAGGAGGGAAAGAAGATTGAGTTGAGGAGGCCGCAGAGAAAGAGGAGAGCGAAGAGGATGAGGGCTGCCATGGATAGCTGAGAGAGGTGAGAGTGAGAGGGGAAGAAGAGGGCGGAAGGAGCGGGTTTAAAGGCTGCGAAGGAGAAGTGGGGAATAGCGCGTCAGGTGAGTGCGGGAGAGGGTGAGATTGGTGGATTGAGGAAAGAGGAAAGCGCGTGAAAAACAGAGAAAAAATATATATATAAAATGTTGTTCGTGTGCGACACTCCTCCATTAGAATTTAAAATCTAACGGTACGCATACGATTTTTTTCGCCGGTGATTTCGCGCGACACGGCACATGATACATAAAATTTACATGCGGTGTCTGATCTATACCGTCAAAAGATTAGAATGACCCTACTCTAACACTTAAAAAAATAAAAAAGATGTATTTCACTGGTCTAAATCGACACCTTATACAAATTTACGTGCGGTATCCGTACACAATAAACCCTAACTAGACAGTTAGATTTAGCTATAAAGTTTTACAAAAACTTTTGCATTTAGGTATGTCTGTATGGTTGATACAATAATATG